GCCGGTTGTGTCACAGGGGCGTGGAGCAACCTGCTCTAGTGGAAGGTGTCCCTGCCCATGCAGGGGTTGGGACTGGAGGAGCTTTAAGGTCCCTTCCAACACACACCAGTCTGTTATTTCACACCATAAATTGTCCCAAGTCCATCCCAGGCCGTGCTGGGTGCAGAAGCCGGGTCCCCATCTACCCACAAGCTGTGCTTTTAATGCAGTGTGTCCAGACATACTGATCTGCAGTAACCAGATTAGGGATTTGCACTGTCAGCCTTTGGAGTGTGTCTCATTGTGTGTGATGTGATTAGAGGGGAGATGTGACAACGGAAAGCTCATGGAAATGAAATTGGATTGCCTGGGGCTGTTGCAGACCTTTGCCTGGTAATAGGTCTTGTACCACCTAACATAATTTCTTTCTTACACATGTCCCCAATAAAATGCATAACTGTCAATTAGGAGAAATATTGACATCTGATTCTTTAGTATATGCAATTTAAAATGGGGCTTGAGGTATTTTTGCATCTTGCATGACTGCAACTGAGAAGAGACTTGGGTTTTTGTCCTTTTACAGATAGGAAATGTTCCTTTATACTGAGCACTTGTACCCATGAGCTACCTCAATTACATTAGGCTGCCTTGCTGGCAGGAGGGTTGAGGGTGGTGCAGCAGTAGGATGATGTACAGCTCAGGGGGACACACCTCCTTTAGAGGGTCCTGCTCACTTTGCTGTGTGTCCTCTGTAGTCACAGTGCAGGACCACGAGGATGCTCCAGAAGCCTATCCAGAGGCAGTAGTTCTCAGTGGCTCAGAGTATTTTCTCTGCAGGAGCACCACAGAAACCATATTCTGATTAGAGAAGTGCTTCTTATTATAGTTTTGGTTTCTTTTTCAGGGTCCCATTTTTCTACGTGCCTTTTTGAATATCTCTGTGGTAAAGGTACCTCACAATCACCACATGAACAGCTCCATGTCTTCAACCTCACATCCTCCTGAGCATCACCACCCAACGACATCCTCAGAACACAGTCATGGATCTGACATGATGATGATGGTAAGTGGAAAAGTTACAATTAACCAGAGAGCTTTTCCTTGTCTGTGGTTCAGTGACTTGTCATCTTGAAGACTGTGCTCTGGAGAATCACAGACTGGTTTGGGTTGGAAGGGACCTTAAAGCTCCTCCAGTTCCAACCCCCTGCCACGGGCAGGGACACCTTCCACTAGAGCAGGTTGCTCCAAGCCCCTGTGTCCAACCTGGCCTTGAACACTGCCGGGGATGGGGCAGCCACAGCTTCTCTGGGCACCCTGTGCCAGGGCCTAAGTTTAATCAGAAGTTAAACTTAGCTTTAGGAGGTGTGAATCAATCCAGACCCAAACAAAGGGCCCCACTATGGCTCTTCAGGAATGAAGGAGTGGCATGAGGTGGTAGGCAGCACAGCATGCATTTCAGAGCTGGAGATCCTTTGGCAAGACTTTTTAGCAAAGACCTTTCTAGCAGCCAGCCTGGTGTGTGCTCTCCAGCCAGGTAAAGGCAGAAATGTCAAGTAAGGTTTTTCCTGCAAGAAATGGAGTTGGATGGAGTTCTCCAGGCTGTTGGTGTTAGCAAAAGCCTTAACTGGCACTGAGGAGGCTGCACACCAGTATGATGGATTGTGCTGATCTGCACACAACCGACCTCTGTGCCCTCTTTCTTCTGAACTCAGTATGCACTGGGCTTGGGGAGCAAAGTGCTACCAGGGCACTTCGCCACACTGGCATTGAGGCTGTGCTGGTGCTGAACCCTGCTGCTCTAGTAACTCTGATTTAAACAGGTTCAGACTTGTGTGTGCCGACCTCACAGAAGCTTTGCAGAGATCCTGGCCAGAGTTTCCCTGGAGATGAACAGGGATGTTTGTTTGTGTGTAGCCAGGTCTCGGGATGTTTTCAGCTTTTTCTCCCTTTTCTGAGTACTTTTGGAGTGAGTTTTAGATGATTAAAACCTGACTTTTTAGGGTTAAACTTTGAAAGGAGGGGAGAGGGGGTGCATTTCCCTTCCAGATGGGAATGGACTTGGGAGTACATTGCAAGCTTTCAGTTAGAGTTTGCTCAGCTGTGTGCCCTGAAGAAGGCAGGGAGGATCAGTGCTCCTACTTACACTGCAAACAGTGTCATAGCAGGAGAGAAACAGAGTTGCCTCCCCTTTGGGAGCATGGCCCAGTGCAAAGCCAGGGGTGCTGGTGGGACTTGCAGTCCAGCGTTGCCACCAGTGCCCTTGTGAAGCTCTTCATCTAATCTAACAGCTCAGCGCTGGCACTCCCTGATCTGTTACTTTCCCTCTAAATGCCGTTTCTTTGCCAGTGCCAAGTGCTCTTACCTTCAGTGGTGGTTACAGGAGCCTGCCTAACCCTGCAACTGAAAACTGTGATTAACTGCACAAGATTCTGAGCTAATGTTGCATGTAAAACTGTCGGGGAAGTAAGCAAAAAGGGACCAGCACCTTAGATCATGGACTGAACACGTTTTAACATGTATGTATTCCCATTCCCCACTTGCACCAAGTACAGGCTCTGTTCCAGCTGTGGGTTACAGAACTGGGCTGTAACACTCTGTGTTTTGTGTGGGTTTGTTTTAAATGTGAAAATGTTACATTCCTTAAAGAAACAAAAGTACTCTCCAAAAGCTGTTCTGTAGTTCCTGCTCTCAGGGTAGTGAATGCTCATTCGTAGAGACACTGAAATTAGTCATAACTCTGACCTTCAGCAAATAACCTTCATTAAGAAATGAGAGGAGTTGAAAGAGAAGCTCCTCCAGCTTCAGGACATGCTGAACTGCAGTGTATGTACCAAAATGGGAAGATGACACAAACCCCAGCTGGCTGCGGATCATTGATGTCTCCCCTTCCCACAGCATTCACTCTGCAGGTTCAGGAGCCCTTGTTTTCACCCAGGGGAAGCTGTGCTCCTGCTTTATCTACTCTTTGTTGTACTTGTATTTAGGTGTCTGTTTCCCATAGGATATTAGGAGGTTCTGTAGAGAGACAATAGCCTGTGGGCACGGTGCAGGATGGCGCCAGAAGATTCAGCTACAAGAGCCTTTATCTGTATGAGCTCACACGAGGTGAGGGTGGGAAGAAGTGAGTGTTCCTCAGGCCATGAGCAGTCATGAGGAGGCACGGGTGAGCTCCACAGAGACATCGCTAGTCCCTGACTGCTTCTGATGCTGCAGAAAAGAACTCTGAAAGCAAGGAGAAGGCATTTTCCTGTAGCAGGTACTATAAAGGACAAATCTGCCTGGGGCACTGCCTTGAAGGAGCTGTCCACTGGAGCCTGGAGCATCATTGGCCACGTCTCACTTGTGGCCATGTCTCACTATGTGTTACACTGGATTTACTGGGGAGTTTCTTTGAGTCTCTCTGGTGACCAGCTGAAAGAATCCAAGTTCTTGCCATAACACAAAAGCTTTTGCTGAATCTTGTTGTGAGCTCTGTCTCAGGATGAGCTCCTCAGGCTCATCTTGATGTTCTTTATGTTTTGGGCAGGCAATGACTTTCCACTTCAGCTATGAGAATGTGCCATTGCTGTTTTCTGGACTTACAATCAATACTCCTGGAGGTTAGTAAAACTCTCTTGTCCAGTCCCAACAAAAGGTTTACCAGTGATTAATGTTTCAGGAACCAACTTGCTTTATGGCAAAACCACACATGCACACTGCATTCAGTCTGTTTGAAATGGCATCTGTGGGGTGAAAGAAAAGGGGAGATGTTTGTCTAGTTCAAGGATTTGACTGGTTTTACTACAAAAGTGAGTGCTGCTTTCACTTCATGGGTGGAATTCTAGTTAGTGCCTGGCTGAAAGTGACATTTACCATCCACACGTGCGTGACCAGCCGTAGCCTGGGCAGTGGGACGTGGCTGTGGAATCACACAGTGTCTTTTGTGACGTGTTTTGAAGCAAATGTCTCCTGTTGCTCAGATACAATAACATCTCCTCTCTTGTCAGAAATGGCTGGTGCTTTTGTGGCTGTCTTCTTCCTGGCCATGTTTTATGAAGGCCTTAAGATTGCCCGGGAATGTCTGCTCCGTAAGTCCCAGGTCAGCATTCGCTACAACTCCATGCCAGTGCCAGGTCCCAACGGCACCATCCTGATGGAGACACACAAAACTGTGGGGTAAGAATTTCCCTTTGTTCTGAGACACATTAATTCAGCAGCTGACAAAGGTGAAAACTGGGACAGAAAAAGCTCCACTTTATGCAACCAGTATTACCTTCTGCAAAGTATAATGACTCCAGAGTGGGACGCTGCTCCACACTGGGCTGGAGTCACCTGGCCACCCTTTAGGATGGGGAACAAGAGGAGGAAAGCAACAGGGAGTCAGATAAGCTTGGTTAATTTCCAGAGCAGTAGTGAACATAATTCAGAGGGTTCCCAGGAACAGAATTTGGGTGTTAGAGCCAGTGACCCTGACAGGAATTACTTGGGATCCTTCTGTTGGCAGGTAGACAAAGCGTCTAGAAAAAGGTAGACAAAGAGGAAAAAAGCCATTCTGCTTATTTGAATGTGGGGGTAAAATAAGCTGGAGAAGTCTGTTTCTCAGCTAAAAGTCTTGCCCTCTTGGTAAGCACCATGATGTCTTTGTCATCAGTCAGCTCTGGGGGGAAAACCACAGTTACAAGCAACAGATGGATGCAGAAGTCTGTGTCCAGCCTGCTCTGTTACCTTCTCTGCCATCTCGCACCCACCTTGGCATCCTGTCAGCCTAAGCTGAGCTGCCTTTTCTCTTTGGGAATGTGCATTTTCCTGCCTTTGTCTCTCAGATACTGATTGTTCCTTGGGTTTTGTGTTCCCAGACAGCAGATGCTGAGCTTCCCTCACCTCCTGCAGACTGTGCTGCACATCATCCAGGTCGTGGTCAGTTACTTCCTCATGCTGATCTTCATGACATACAACGGATACCTCTGCATAGCCGTGGCAGCTGGGGCAGGGATGGGCTATTTCTTCTTCAGCTGGAAAAAGGCAGTTGTTGTGGATATCACAGAGCACTGCCATTAACAGTGGACACTGCCCAGAAGCCTCTCCACCCTACTGCTCTCTTGAAGAAAAGGGATCTCTTGAAGGGAGGGATCCTTCCTAAGCTGAAAGAGAATCAATATACAGAAAATCAACTGGAGTTCACCACAGGTTCCTGGCTGGGGTGCAGGGATGTGAGGAGCTGGGGTGTGCTGCTCCCTTGCTGCAGGGCAGCAGTGTTGACTCGAGGGTCCCATGGTTGCCACTCTGGGCCAGGATTTGCTTTACTCTTAGATTATGCCGTGATTGAAATTAGTTGGCTGACAGAAATGTAGAAATTATTCTTTAAAAAAGAAAACAAAAAACAAAGCATTTATTTTTAAATTGTAAAAGCTCATCTGGGAGGGTTTTATGAACAGCAGGTAAAGACCAGAGTCACCCATGGAGCTACATGTGTGAATGGCTGTTTTAATTCTACTTGTTTCAAGCTGTACAGAATGCTAGGGGACATCTCCCTGGCACTGTGGCTTTTGGGGCCAGTGACACCTTCTGATGCAGAAGGAAGTTTTGGTGCTGCACCTCAGCTATGCTCAGGTGTGTGCTGCAAGGGAATACTTGACATAAGTGTGTGACCTGGGGTCTCGATGGCCTGTCCCCAAACCCCTCAGTGTATGATGAGTGTTGATAATCTGATGTATGTAGCAGCGTTACTCAGCTTCAGGTGGTTACATCTGTGTTTGGCTGATTTCACTTCCCAGTCATGGAAACACACGGAGTAGATGCAGGACAATTGTGTATTTACAGGGCAACAAGACTGTAAATAACCCATTGAACCCACATTTACTTCATGTTGGATTGCACCTGGATGGAGCTAGAGGTAGGATTTCGTTGACTAGAACTAGTTCAGTAAATGAGGCAAGAGCTAAGTAGTGATTTCATGACACTAAAGGTTAAGATGTCTGAAGAGGGCATTCCTTGATGGAGATGAAGGAGGTAAACCAGCCATATTCCTGTAAGGGAGACACCTGGGGAAGAGAAGAAAGAAAAGATAGAACTGAGCAGCCTTTGGTCTCTTCTCAGGTGAAATTTGGGGCAGTTTGGGCTGATTAAAACGTATTCCTGACCCAGATGACTCCTCTTTGTCTTAAGAATCATGCTGGGACATGTTTGCTTGCAGGTGCAGGAGTTACCCATGCTGGTGGTGAGTGAAGAGCTCTCATGTTGTGGGCAGGACAGGCTGTGACACGGGCAGAGGCAGCTTCCTGCAGGTGTGATGCCCACCACACACCCTGGCTTTTCTAGGGAGCAGTTTTGGTTTAGCACTTTGCTGTTAAACTGTTTCTTGTTGTAGGAAGTGTTGTGCAGAGTGTGGTGCAAAGCTGGAGTCTCCATCCCAGTCGGGATGCCCAGCTTGTGCTTGTAACTGGCTGAAAGGGCTGAGGGTGGGATTTTCACTGGAAAACAGGCACCACCTGCAGAATGGGACTGACGCCTGGGATGTGCCTTGAGAAGAGGGAATCCTCTTGAGGGGAAAGTGTCTGGGCACATGCAGTAGTGCTTTTCTCTCCAGAGATGCTACTATTCCCGCTCTGTAAGGAAAGTTGGGAATTACATTTCTTTAGCCCAGAAGTGAGGCCTGTCCCTGTGGAGGTGGGTTCTTCTGTGTTGATGGTACATCAGCAGCCCAGAGCCCACCCTCACCCTACCACTCTCTATGAAGGGCAGCAGGAAATCCATTACTGCTACTGCTAGGATCCTGAATTGCTCTACCTGAAGTTGACTGTCCTGGGTTGATGCCATCTGTTTGAGCAGCTTGTTTTCTTTGGGCAGCACAAACAGCACACAATTTGATGAGTTAAAGGCAGGCTTCAGTTCCTAAAGAGTTTCTTTCTGTACTGAAGTTACATCTGGGTGAAAAAGGCAAAGTCATATTCATGGATGAATTCAAGCCCCCTCCTGATGAGAGAGAGGAAAAGCTCTTCCCCAGTCTGACCTTTGAAAGGAGTTAATCTGCCAGGCTGCAGGAGGACGGATGCTGCTCTCTGCATCTGCCACAAAGGTAAAAAACTTTGCCCTCTAAGCAATCCTGCGTGTCTGTGAAAGCAGAAACCAGACCCTTCCACCGTCAGAGCTGTGAGGGAATCGGAGTGAGTGTGTCAGGGAAGACTGAAGCAGTAAGTGTTGGAGATGGTGGGTTCAGGTTTGGAAGCTCTACCCTGCAGGGCTTGATCCCTGGAGCTGCTCAGAGTCAGCAGTGCCAGCGCTGCGCTGGTTGTTTCTCTGCAGCGAACTGGCGCTGTTGCTGTTCCAGGGGGTACAGTCACGAGGGGCTCTGTGACACCACCAGTTACTCATGTACCTCTTGCTGTGTCCTTCTCTAATACAGAACCTCCCCTTCACCTGATCCTGCTGTCACCTTTTGGTCACCGAGTTCCGATTCAAGTGACCAGAGGTGGATGACTCAGATTAGACAAGAGCTGTGGCTTTCACAATCTAAACTGGGTTCTTGTTAGCTTTTCTGCCTCGTTCTACCAGTAGCATGGAAACTGTTTCCCCCCAGAGGTGATCCCCCTGTGTTCAGTGTGCAGTTGGGTGCTGATGCTGCCCCAGCAGTGGTCACCTGCACAGCAGGAGCCCCGGCAGCAATGGTTGGAGCAGGGGAAGTGCCTGTTAGATGGGAGAGCTGAGCCAGGGAAGGATGGTCTAAATGGGATTTGGTCATGGAGGTCATGGAGAGATGGAGGCTGCCTCCTCTCTGCTGCTGAGGAAGGGATGTTTCCAGTCCATGTCTCAGCAGCAGAGACGACACAGCCTCCAGCTCTTCATGACCACCTCCCTTTCAGCTTTGGATGTGCTTCCTTCAGCTTCAGACAATCCAGAGCAGCCTCCCCTGTGCCTGCAGTGCCACCAGCTCTGTGTCCCTGGCCCAGGCTGCTCAGCAGAACCTGCCACCTCCCAATAGCTTCACCCACCGCGTCCGGGGTGCTCCCATTGGCAGTTGTCCTGATAACACTAAACGCTCATGAGGTGGTGCTTGGAGGGAGGGGAGGGCTATACAAGACTTAAGTAAACTAAATTCACATGTCACCACAGTGTAGCACGCCTGGAATGCGATGTCCTTTGTCTGTTTGTATCCCATGTTTGGTCTCCACACGCGGTGCCTCTGGATCATCATCTCAGAAGTGCCCAAACATGTGGCTGCGCACCCGCCATCAGTGCCTGTTCAGTTTGCCTGGAGCAGCCCCACATCCAGCAGGGTTCGAGTTCTGTTTACAGTGGACTGTCACTTTTGTTTTATGTTGCTCTGTGTGGAGGTAACTTGTCTGATATTACTGTGAATATCAAGAGTCTCCTGTATATAATTAATCAATAAACTAGATTGCATTTTACTGTGGTGGATGTGTGCTTTGGAAGCACTCCGCAGTGCAGAGACTGCAGCTGAAGTGGGGCTGGTGGCTCTCACCACAGCAGCAAGCGACTCTGGGAGTCACAGAACCCCAGCCTGGTTTGTGTTGGAAGGGACCTTAAAGCTCCTCCAGCCCCAACCCCGGCCACAGGCAGGGGCACCTCC